CTTCCCTCCTAGGTGTGCACATCCTATTCTATCTAAGAAGATGAAACTTTTTAAAAATCCTCCGTTGAACCTCAAAGGAAATTTCTCATAAGCATTTCTATTTTTCTGGCAACCAATGAGGGAATCTGAAGAATAGACATTTGGTAAATAAGTAAATTAGATAAACAAGCTTTTATTAGAGTAATCATTCCCCCCAATGAAAGATATTTATATTTCCATAAATCAAGCTTTACTGTATCCTCTGGATCACCTTATCCCACATAGCCGCATGCAACTAACCATCTGAAATAGGCATACCCAAATATGTAATTGGGAAATATTGGTAACTTGGCCAACCTCAACCTCACAAAAGAGCAACGTATCATCTGCATATTGTAAATGATAGATACATAGTCCCTCATTCGACAATTGGAATATAACAAAATGCCTTTTAGATTCAACATTGCAAACAAACAAGCTGAAGCATTATGCATAATCGTGAAAATGAAAGGAAAAAGAGGATCACTTTGACAAAAACCCCTGGAGGTACTAAAAACCTGTCGGGCATCCTTTATACAAAATAATAAAGTGTGTAGAAGAAAGACATCTAAAAATCCAATTCTTCCACTTCTCACCAAAGCCCATATTCTTCATAATTTTTTAAAAAATACTCCATTCAACCCTATCATAAGCATTTTCTATGTCCAACTTAATCATAATTCTAGGAATGCCACTTAAAAATCGCAAATGAATGCATTCCTGTGCAACCAAAACGCTATCATAGATAAGTATATCCTTAATGAAAGCTGACTGTAGACTAGTAATAATGGACGACAAGACGACCTTAAGCCATTCAATAAACACCTTAGCCACAATTTTATAGAGACTCGTCAGAAGGTTGATGGGTCTGATATCACCTAAGTTAGCAATGAAAGACTTTTTTAAGGATAATGATGATAAACATGGAGTTAATACCTTGAAAGAGTTCACGGCTCCAAAAGAAGGCCCTGACCATATCTAGCAACTCCATACTAATCAAATGCTAGAAATAATGAAAAAAAAAAAGAGAAAATCCATATGGCCCATGAGCCTTATCTCCTAACAAAGAAAACACCACTCGTTTTAATTCTTCCATTAAGACTTCTCTCTCCAGGAAAGAAACGATATATGAAGGGAGAACTCAGAAGCCTACCGTATTGAGCATGAGGGTGAATTTAATCTCAAGCTTGTTAAAAATAGTTGATGACAACATTAGATATCTCAGGATTATAATTTGACAACATTGATCTCATGATGTTGTGTAAAATAGTTTCATAAAGAAGGTATTAGTGCTTTCATGGTGCCATATGATGCCCTTGTGGCATGAGACAAACTTGGGAGAAACCATATAAAAACAACTAGACGATTATATTCAAATGAAAAAGTTTTAATTTTTAGCCTTCTTACTTAAATCTCATCCTTAAAAAACTGGACAGTTTCTACTCAAGCTTGATGAATTTTTTTTAAGCCCATAAAAAATGCAATTGAGATTTTTTTTTAAAAAAAATAAAATAATTTGAGTATAGCATATGTGTTGAAGAGGTTATGTTCCCAAAAATTGGGGTCTTAAAAATACTCCTAAATTGGGTTTTCCCAAAGAAATAAACGGCCAGTGTGCTCCCTCAAGAGCACGGAATCTTTAGGCTTAATATTCTACCGGTTTTAACTACCTCAAGGAAACTCTAAAACTCATTCTATATTCTAAAACGGAAAAAGGATTTTCACTGTAAATGATTAAATAAATTCCGTTCAAATACTACACACAAATCATTATCATCATCATAGCTTTTTTTCAATTAATTGGAGTCGGACACGAATTTTAATCCACTATTTAAGTTTTGGTAAAGTTTTAGTTGGTTGTCTACCTAAAACAACCCAGCCCCTTACCTTAGGATGGGACATGTTACGGGAAAATTTAAAATCATCATCCTTTTTAGACATCAAACACTAAACACAAATAAATGTTCAAATTTAGGCTCTTTAAAACTCTATGTTCCTTTTTTGTTTACATTATATCTATGTTAAATCAAAGTTATTTCACAAAATATCACCAAAAACAAAAAAAAAGGTTTCTAGGTAATTGTTTTGCTTATTATACAAGTTACTCCCACTATAGCATGCTAGCATCCAACAAATAAATAGGGTTTTTGTCCGTGGGAGCAAGTGTATAATCTGCTCCTGAAAAGAATAAGGAAAAAACTTCGTCAAACTGACCAAGTAACGTGGCCACCACTAAGAACGATGATGACCTATCGAAGGGAGAAAGGATCCGCAGCCAAATATAAAAGAAGGAAGTTACTCAAATCAACGGATATAAAATTTTATGAGAAAATGGAGGTTTATAGTGTGTCGATTAATTCTTTAAAGGGATAGTATTTTTTTATTTTTGTTTTTATTGAGAGTGAGATGGGTTTTCTTTTGAACAGTTTAGAGGTAGGAATCAAACTTGAGATGCGTTATTAATGTCAACCACTACTACTGAAGTTCAAGCCCTTGAGATATATTGTATAGAAGCTAATAAAATTAGGATTTCTTATTTTTTTATAAAAAGATTTTTGATATTAGTTGATGGAAAAATATATAAAGAGGCATTTTATTTTTAACACAAGAATGTCATAATCACTCTTGTCCATCATATTTTAAATTCAAGAGTTGTAAGTATGTCATTGACTAGACTTAAAGTTTCTTTCTTAAAAAAAATCTCGAACTTTGTAACACACTCCAAATCATCTAATTTGACATCTAATAGTTAGAAGTGATTGTTACAAATGAAAACCATAAATTGCATTCAAGGGTATATCTATATTAATAAATTTAGAAAAGAGTGTGGAACATGAGTGTTTGAAAAGGAGAACATGGAACATTGTCTTGACACATCTTCTGCAAACACGTTACATGATCATAGCACAAATTGTTTGTCTGAGGTCAATTGTTTGAAGTGTTACAGGATTCAACAGGGTCTATTTAGATTCAAGTGAGTAGGAGGTTGAGTTACCCTGAGTTGTGTGTAGAATTCGAGGTCATAAAAATTTAATTATTTTTTTTTGTAATTTCTATTTTTAAATTTCCTTCTTTTTCGTCTTTTTTTAAAAGCCCTACCTAAAAATCAAGTTTTTAACTCGCTTTTTAATACTTTTTTAAGCTTATTTGAACTTTTCTTACATTTCTTTTATGTTTCAATTTTTTATTTTTTTTAAACTTTATCTAGGGCTTTTGGCTTATAGACTTGGTGAAGTAAATTCGCTGGCCAAGGGCTATTGGCTGGCTCCTTTGGCCGAGACGAGTTCCTAAATACTGAATTGAACCCCTCAAGTAATCAATATTATTAAAGAATCTTTGCTTTGGTCCCCAAAACGATTAAAAACAAATTATAAAATTTAAAAAATATAAGCTTATTGAAGTTATCAACAAAAATAGTCTTTGTTTTGATAGTTCAGCAATAGGAAAATATTATTATCTCACTTAATGTAAATTAGACGGCAGGATAGGGGGAAAATATATATCTTCTATTCAATAGGGGTTAGTATATAAACCTTTCATTTAAACCTACTCACCCAAATCCTTATAAAGATCCATTCAAGAGTTTTATATATTTGTACAAAGATAGAAAATGCGGCATCAATGGACATTAAAATCACTCTTTCCTAGGTCCTGTCCTCTTCTCAATCAAATTATAAGTTTTCAGACAATTCATCAAACCTTCAATAAACGATCTTACTATCATGGAGAATCTACCTACATAAAACCTTAGTGGGAATTATTGTAGTGAGTTTAACTTAACATATCAATGTGAGTTTCTATGACAATAATATGACAATAATATCTGCGATATTATCGGTAAATTAAATTTATCACCATAAAGGATGGATTGATGTTATTAATGAGATTCCACTTTCAAATTAAAAAAATGGAAATCGTCATAATCCTCATAGCATTTTTCCAACAATATGGGGTTGGCTAAATTAAAAGAATGCAAATAAATTCATCACGTTTTGTATTTGATTTTCAAGTTGTTGATCAAAATGAGAGGACGTTCGAAGCCATAACTAAATTTCTTCCCTTAATGAAGGATTACTTTGCTCTCGATTTTCCAAAAAAAGGGTTACTTTGCCCTCTTATTTCCATGCAGTAAGTCTTCAAGTACGTTGTCTATAAAAGAGAATGGCATGGAGCCTTGGTGGTAGTATTGCTATGGTAAAGATCTTTGAATCCTTTCTCACTAAAAGGTAGAGGCCCAAACCCCATTGACTCCCACTTTTTTTAGAATGGCATATGGGCTTGGTGGTAGTATTCTTGAACCCCATGGTTTGGGAATGGGGCTGTCGCGGTGGTAGCACCCCATGCTCTCGTCACCGCGCAGTGGTTTCCATTCCCATCAATAACACCACCCCACTAACGCCTTCAAAAAAACTAACTCCGAATGTACTTGAAAAAACAAATAAGGCCTGAATTACAAAAAAAAAACAAAGAGTACAATCTCTATGAAAAGATGAATATCAAATATTTGTTATTCTTTGTGGTTTTTATTCCCATCAATAATACCACCCCACTAACGCCTTCAAAAAAACTAACTCCGAATCTACTTGAAAAACAGGTAAAGCCTATCTTCCCCACTGAATTACTAAAAAAAAAAAAAGTACAATATAATTTTTTCTTATTTTTGATGAATACACATGCACACACAAATAGATAAATACATATGTAAATGTGGATATATAAATGCCAGCATTAAGAAAAATTAATGTTTGCATGTAAAAGTTTTTATCAGAAATTTATCATAATAGACTTAACTTTTCAAGAATTTCACAATTTTTTTTAACTATTCCAACTCATTCTTATGCATATTTTGATGGGTATTTAGAAATTCACTCAAAAGTTGAAGGCAAAAGATGTTAAATAGTTGATCTCTTATTAACCTGGGTTGGGTTGCGGGCTTTACTGAAAGTAATTTGAATATCTTTTGTGCACTGTCCATATGGAAATTCACTCAATAATTTGGTTCTATATTTTCTATTGTTCTTCTATATTACCAAAGAGAATACCACACTGAGGTTTTGATTGCAAGTAACCTCCATCTTCGAAGAAGACCCTACTCAACATACACGCAAATATTAAACTACGTAAGAAATGGACAATTCAAAACTGCCACAGATCAAGACTCAGAATTAACTTCGAATTGCACAGGTGATGGATCTCTGCAACTCCTCCGATTATGACCAATTTGTTTACAGTTACTGCAATGGACCAGAGGTTTTGAAGGTTCCGAACAAATTTTGTTTTTCCGTGGTCGGCCAGGTCTTTTTTTGGTGGGTGGAGCCTCAATAGATAGCTTTTCATCACCTTCCCATGTGCTGGCGTCAAGTACTGGGTGTATTGCCTCCAAATATGTTGCTTGATATTTGGCAACATAAAACCAATCCTGACAAAAACTACATACGTCATATTTTTTATTATGAATGGCCGCAATAGCATGTGAACATGGCAGTCCTTGGACTTCCCACTGGCGGCATGAACATGTTCGTTGGCCGAGGTCCACAAAAAATGTTTGCTCATGGGATATAATCTCAAATTCAGTCGGTCGACAATGGCGCACATCATGTTGTCGTGAAGGCTGTACCATTTTAGCAATATATTTTTCAGCAAATGGTGTAAGCATGCCAGTCCACTTCCCCCCATCATCACGACGCTGGTTAAACAACTCCATCATCTTTATGTGTATGCACTCCACCAAGGAGATAATAGGCGAGTCTCTAGCCTCATTTAGCCAATTGTTGAAGCTTTCAGCAATGTTAGAAGTCAGAATGTTGTATCGATCTCCCTTGAAAAAGGCTGTTGCCCAATTTTCAGTTGGGATACTATTGATCCAAGAAACAGCCTCCTTGGATATGCCCTCAATGGTGCTCATGTGGAGCTCAAATTCCTGTCGTGTGCATGCCAGAGCAGCTTTCCAAAAGATTTTTCGTAGCATGTCATTCCTAAATAACTTACAAAAGCTTTCAGAGAGGCGTGCCATGCAAAATCCATGGAGTGCCTCTGGGAACACCTCCTTTACTGCACTTTGTAAGCCATTTTCCCTATTCGAAATAATTGTCAATCTTGGTATTTCCCCCAATGACCGCCTTAACACAGTTAGAAACCATGTCCAACTTGCATTGCTCTCAGATTCTGCAATAGCAAAAGCTACAGGAAATGACTCATTGTTTGCATCCACAGCTGTGGCACAAAGAAACACACCTGAGCATCTCCCAGTAAGTTGAGCCCCATCAACTTCTAAAAATGGACGACATGCATTCAAGAATCCTCTAATTGATGCACTGAATGCCCAATATAATCTCAAGAATACACTGTCCCGATCACATATCAGTTCTGTAACACTTCCTGGATTTGTTCTCTCGATCTCTTTACAATAACCTGGAAGAGCCTTAAATGATTCTTTATAAGATCCACGGATAGCACCCATTGCATCCTGTTTGGCTCTCCATGCTTTCGCATAGCTTACATCGACATTGAATTGCCGTTTAATATCTCTCACAATTTCCTTTGGGGTATAATTTAAATTGGTTTGCACCTGCTCTTGGATGACACTAGCTATCCATGCAATACTCGCCTGTCTATGTGAAGAACTACATTTCATTACACAAGTATGAACTGGATTATATGTTTTAATCTTGAATGTAGGCTGTTCTGGAAGTCTTGATGCATGTATGCGCCAAGGGCAAGCTGGATTGATACACTTTGCAGTACTCATGTTCTTAGAGGTTCTAACAGGCTTATATTCAAAATTTGAGTACATAGCAAACTCACGCAATGCTTTATTAAAAGCCTTGCCATCTACGAATATTTGGCCAACCTTCAAACTATGTGACGACTCGTCATCACTCTCTTCAAACCCTACTTGTGTCTTCAATGCAAGGCTATCAGTGGGCCTTTGACCACAATCTGAGATACCTTCATTCCCTCTCAAATCCTTCAATGTAACAAGGGCCTTTTCACAACTACCAATCTCTTTACTAAAATCTTTACAACCAAAATTTGATGGTGATGCATCATCCATGGATCTAATGGACAATCCCGCATCATCACCATCTGGCTCCAAATCTGTATTCGAAGAGTCGGAAAGGCTTTCAGACACATTCCGTGTGTTTGTAATACTGGGACCATCAGAAAGTTGTTGCTCTCTGATCATTATGGTATCCCTCCTATCTGCGGCAGATGATTGGGGAGAGTTTGTAGTAATGGGGACTGATGATTGGTTGTGCCCAATTCTTGTGTTTCTGCTACCCAACTCCCTTTTGTGGACCCCCCTTGAAGTACCCATGATATTGTGCCTAGGAAGGTTGGACATTGTGTTAGAATTGTATTCTAATGCCAACAGTATTATGTATTCAAGATATACAAATATGCCGACAAAAAAAGTTAACCATACCTAATAGTTGATATGTTGATTGGATGTATTTCATGTTTGATGATATAAATAGCGATGGCATTGCAATATCGGGGAAACACATCCATCATCATACGGACATCGTCATCACTCTTAATATCGACAAGGGATGAGTCAAAATCTATGCCAGGATACCTATACTTGATGTCAATGCCAGTGTTCGGAGGTCCTGACATGCTGACCTCGCGCATTTTCGATAGAAGACTGGAATAACTAATGTCACGGGTAACATAAGTACCTCGGGTACTACCGCCATTGTAGATGATTCTACCTGCCTCATTCGCAAAATGTCCACCATAGTTGCAGAGCAAGGGAACCTTGTCTCCAGACATTGTTCATGCGGGCCTGTGAGTTCCAACAATTAGTTAAAGATAAAGCGAGACAATATAAAAGTTTCAAAAGCAGACATAATAGTTCACTCAAGCAACATGCCACAGGTATGAAATGTCATATTTAGGTTTGACAACAATCATGAGGTAAGTTCTAGGGCAGGGAAGTACCCTGGACCGATGGAGCATATACTTAAGGGCCACAAAATCTACAAGTTTGATTTTTAGGCTCAAAGAGTGGAATAAACATGGACACTTGAGATGTCACTAGGTACAAACATCGACACTTGAGATGTCAACTTGTCAAGTATTGACACAGACATCCCAAGTTTCAAACTTCGAAGCACTTTTATTTATTGAAATTGAACAGCACTATATTTCATGCATGGTTCAACAACTCATACTAGAATTCGTACTGTCAATCACCGGACTGAGTTGACTCAATGAAGAGGGTCAACATATGCATTTTAATAATTTTTAGAAGTACTATATAATTTAACATTATATAGAAGAATTCAATAATTTCAAATAAAAACAAAACAACAAAATGAAGCAAGTATAATACATTAGCATAAATTCACTCCAAAATCAACACATGAGTTATACATTAACTCAATGAAGAGGGTCAACAGTGCAGGACGGTAACCCTTAGCAGTCGACTAGTTGCCCAGGCAAACTGCTTGGGCGCCCGCTTAGGGCCTTTTTGGTAAGCGCCGAAATTGCCTCACCATATGGGCCAACAGGGGAATAGTATTTTGGGCCATTTTGGCCCCCGCAAAACCCTAGACAACTATTCCTTTGCCTCAAAAACAATTTTTTTAGCTCAAAATCAAAACTTTTTAAAAGGTTGAATTCGTATTTGAAGTTTTTAGTTTCTTAAATTTGTTTTTAGAAAGAAATAGGTCACAATTCACAATTGACCACATGAATGCCAATGTAATCCTAATAACTAAATCATATAAATGACCAAACAAGTGATACCGTATCCCAAGTTTGTCTTAGCTGCCACAAATGCCAATATGTTAAATGGATAGGAATTGTATCACAGCATCCCACATGTGACATGTTGATATCATAAATATCCATTTCGAAATTCAAGGGAAAAATAAAAAACAGAATAAAAGGAGTATTGGCATAACATACCACACAATCTTGCTAATCTGGGTGTAACAAGGTATCGATAGAGACAAAAATTTTAAGGCTATAAAGGATTTGCCAGAGATGGGATATCCCAGAAATACCTCCATGAAGTGGCACACAGTGTTCCATGTCCCCACAACAGAGAAGCACAGAGCCTGTTAGCACCACCAAGGTGCTACACTTATTGCACACATCTTATTCAATCTACCTTTCTCAGGCTCCCCAACCATCAAATCAAGACAGACAGATCAAACCTACAGTAACCCATCCCATTCCACCACCACTCTGCTCTATCATTCCAGCCCCAAGTGAACTACACACCCTATCCCATTACAAACTAAAACCCCGATGCCCATGCGACCCTTGCACTGTGGACAACTAGCCCCTAAACACCATCTTAAACAGAGTCCCTCACCTCTAGTTAACCATCTTTATGCATCCCCTAATTTTAACCATCCATATCTTTGAGCCAACAGCCGCAAATCAAAACTGCTGTCCTAAGGATTGCCATGTGGTTGCTTGGGAGAAAAAACATTAATAGAGAGAAAAGCAGCAAAGGAAATCCTATTGCAGGAAAAATTTACCTGCAGTCAAAGAGAGATAAGCCACAAAGGTGAATAATGAATCTAAAGGTGGAACCCGATAAGGCAGCCAAGGCCCACAAATTCTTTACCCGAGGACAAGTGTATGATGGGACAAAAAATCAAATTCGGAATTCAAATGAAGAACTAATTCAAATTTGAAAATTTTGAACTTCAAACCACACCTGTCTGTCCCCTTTCCAAGGTCCATCCATTATCTTTTCAATCCAATGGTCCCCAAAAGCCCAACCATTTCTCTCCTCCACCCCCCCTCCCCCCAACTCCTCCAAGTAACCATTCCTCCCCCGCACACAAGCAACCCCTTCTACACTTGCCAGTAATTCAACTACTTCACCTGTCCTTATACAGTCAAATGAAACACAGATTGCAGCACCCACCGTCCAGTTGCCAAGACATCCACTCATCCTTCCCCCAGTGAAAAACAGCTGGCACAAATAGAACCCCCATTCAAACCACTATACACATGTCCAGCAAAGTCCAAATCACATAACCCTCTCTCTCCTTGAAAGACCTTAAAAGATATAGTGCCCAAACAATACCCTAGCTCTTATCCTATTCGAGAACTAGAAGTTCAATTTATCTCTTTAAAGGCTACAGTCCAGACCACCACAAAACTTTCCCCGAAACAGAGGCTGTGACCCACCTCAATCCCTTAGCCATTCCTCAGTCTCTCAAGGCGCCAATGGTCTAACAGCTGACATACCCACGAAAATGGTCCCACTAGGTACACCATGCTTCATTCCCCTCTTCTTCCATCCACCACAAGAACAACACTCGACCCAGTTGCAAATACCCACATCCAAAACTAATGATGACTCACCCCATGTCTGCTACGTCAAAACCCACCCTGTGGCCGATCCAAAGACCATGGAGCCCCAAAAGCACAGAGAAGTACTCTAGCAAGTCATCTTCCGTATGCAGAATCATAAGTCTCAGTTGATCACAAGAAATAGAGAGAATGAAGGTAACATAAGGCAGATGCTAGAGGCTATGGGACAAGATTACAATGGAAAGATCAATGTTATTGGTGAAGCAATGAAGGTGAACCACATTACCAACCTCAAACAAAGGAGCCAATGACAAAGGCAGAGGAAATGAAGATCTTGAAAGTCAATCCTGGAAGAATTAACTTGCAGACACTCCCTGCCGACCCCCTGACATCAGAAAGCCTTCCATTCCAAGTGATCACAGTCAAAAGCACTCCTCCTCACGCCATCACAACCCTCAATCTTCTATATCCAAATGACGATCATGGCAAGGTATATTTGGCGTATGGGGGAACCTGAGAAGAAAAAAAATCTATATGCTTATGTACAAGCAAATTCAATCAAAAAATTTTGGTTTGTATTAATGCCCTGTCCTTCAGTGAAGTTTACACTCTCAGAGACAGAAGTGTCTGGCCTGCTCTGCTACTACTAGGTGCATCTGGCAGTATTTGGATCCTCTGGATCCAACAATCCTGAACCAGACATCCAGCAAAGTACACCACTTTTCTGTCCCTAAATATTCTCTCGCCTTTCTGATGATTATAATTGAATCTTAACAGTTGTATAAGGCCCCAAAAGACTAATATGAGGGTGGAAGAAGTTAGACGAAACACAAGAGTCACTCTCTCGTCTTATGCTCTATAGGCAGAGGTTTCCTTGTAACACCAAGGTATTCCTTCAAAAGGCGGGGGGACATACATTGCAAGCATGGAAAGTCTCTCAGTCTCTCTGTTTTTTTTCCTCCTGACACAATCGCATTCATATTCTTCTCATTGGTACTTCATTTACTTGGTCTAACCACATTATATCCTAAATCTAACCAAATTAGACGGATTTCTGGCTAATTCTGAGTGGGAAAAGGACTCACAGGTGGTTATAGCAAGGCCTTACCCCAAACCGTCTCATAGCATACCCTATTTGGTTAGAAACCATTCCTGTATCCAATGGCTCACAGCTATTCAGTTATGAAATGATATGACTCGAAGAGAAAAGCCTACACAATTTGATCCCTAATGGTGGACTCTTTTGTTGTAGAAGGTTGGCTCCAAAGGTTAGATACCTTTGGTGTACACTTTTAAAGAATTAGAGGGGCTAGTAAATATTAATACATGAACAAAAAATAACAAAAAATACATCAAGGTGGGACTGATACCACCACTTCCTCCTAATAGCCCCTGCACACTTTCCATAGAATCACACTGGTAAAGATAGCATTACAACAAGACAATGTCCGCTGAATATAAAATTTGGCATTATACAATTTCCAATATACATACACTTTTGTATACATCAAAATTCAACACAATTGTGATCCTTCACTTTACATGACTGATATAAATTGCTTACAACTTAATTATGAAAAATTAACCATGGGAAGCCAAATGTAGAACTCGTTTGCTCGAGATCGCCCTGAGACTAAAACACCCCAAGTATGATCTCCACCTTCAATAGCACCAGGACCAGGGCTCTCCTAACTCCACAAGATGGAGGCCATCCAAGAAAGCAATCTTACACAATAATAGGTCACTCTAGAATTCTTAGATTAGTGAGCATACAAATGGCAATGAAAATCTAGTATGGACACGGCAATGGTGACCAAAATGGTGCATAGAAAGGTTCTTATGTGTACGGTGTAAGCTTGCAAAATTCGTCCCAAAACTCATGAAATTCAAACTCTATCTTGCTGTAACTGATATTAGAACACTGGTTGCAGCAAGATAATAGATGCTTAATTCTTACAGCAAGATAATAGATGCTTAATTCTCACTAACAGATGGTGTAGGGTATAGCTATGGAGAGTAGACGATATGGCATAGCATGGACTATCGCATGGCATGGTATGGACTTCAAATTGGCCATATATCTCGTGAAAGTCAAACTCTATCATGCTGTAACAGGTCTTAGAACACAGGTTACAGCAAGATAATGGATGTTTAATTCTAAAAAATAGATGGCCTGGGGTATAGGTGTGGCATGGTATGGACTTGCAAATTGGCCATAAATTTCATGACAGTCTATCTTGTTGTAACTGTTACTAGAACTCAAACTACTGCAAGATAATGAAGGTTTAATGCTCACAAATAGATGGCTTAAATTGTAGGTACATAGGTTAAACTATGTGGTATAATATAGACTACAAAATGGCATGTTATACTTTACAAAATTACATCTCAAAGATCCATGGGATGAGAATTCCTTGCACTAATTTTGGAATGTTGTAGAGATTAGAGCAAGACGGAAGGTCCTGGGTGCTCCATTAATGGTGGAAATGTGGAATGTGGCTTGGTTGAAGATGAGATCCATAGGGTTTTGGGGAAGAAGAGAGTAGGGTTATATGGTAGTCTCTCTCTCACACACAATGACTATGGACCATATAAACCATGGCCACGAAGGCTCAAATTCTTTCGCTCTCTATAGGGGCCAACCACTCACGGTAAGCTTTCTCTCTATCTATTTGGATAGCATAGCATTGGGTTGAAGTGAAATCATGACAAGTGGCATGCAAATGGGCTTTTAAATTTTCCCATAAGCCCTACGGGTTTCAATTGAAATACCAAATCCTATGCCCCTTCTAGAGGATCAGTCCATGAACACTCATGTAGTCATGTGTAAAAGATTCACCCATGTTGCTCAAAAACTGTTATATAACACAATTATAGAACTTATGTACACAGCCCAACAAGCTCGTATGAATAAGCATCACCCACTTGTGGTGACCATGCCTACATGGGGACCCTGTTGGGGCACATGTATGGCCCATTGGCTACTTGGGCGTCATATGTGTCCTGCCTATTCTTATATTGAATTTTTAAAAAACAAATTCCTAGGCCATTTTAGGCGCCAGAAAAATTATATAAAAATTCCCAAAATATTTAAAAATCAGTTTTCATCTTGTTTTACCAAAATAAATTCATTTGGGACGCTTTGCAAATATTAGAGTGAGATATGGTGCCTTCAAAGTTTGATTTCTATAAAACCAAGGCACTCTTCTGAGCTTACCCCAGAACCCGCAACCATTTTCTCAAATCGACTCAAAGGAACCTATGAACCATAGTCCTAGGAGCTCATACTTGCTCCTCAAAGTCGATCGACCAATAGATGGAGGAATTTTGAGATCTGGGGAGATTGCAAGTGCACCCCCCAAGAACAAATACACTATGCATCTGTGACCATAGTCACAATAAAAAACACACACCACGATGTCCTCTCTCAGCACAAGTGCACATTCCTAATCTGGTAAATCAGCCAGAAAGAGTAGCTTCACATTTATGTGGCTGTTATATGCACATGCCATAAGTTGGTAACAGATAAGTTAAGGCTTAGCCCTTGCCCTCACAAGCCACCAATCCACACGGGATATCGTTTCTGCAGGCTCATATCTGATCACAATATTATTTTTCTCGATCTTGCAAGAGCACACCTGTGCTTTAGGATTAGCCTCCAGTGTTTGGTTATAGGCTCAATATGACCTCAACTATGGCATAACTGCCAATCCTCATGGTACCTGCTAAGCCTATAAATCAAAACCTGTGGTTAGGGTTTTCTGACTCAAGACACCACTTCCAGGCCCCAGATTCCTAGGACCAATGAGTCACTGGGCATCCATTGGGCTCCATACTCCCAATGGAACCAAAACTACTATAAAAGTATTATGAAATACATGGTAATAATGCCTTGAAAGGTCACCAATCCAACAGGTTCACTAAGAGAACAAGAGAATGCCAGTGAAAACCGGCCTCGAACGCACTCTAAAGCAGCAAGAAATATATTGCCACAAGCATTGTGGATCGGATGGCAGAAAGTGAGAGACAATACTAATTCTTCTTTCATTGACTGAAGAATAATAGACATGTGCAGTAATTCCATTACCCAAATCAAGGACAGGTGAACAACTTATGAGGTTGCAATTGAAATTCGCTAAAATTATCTCTGTGCTCAAGCAAACGCAAGAAAGCCCAATGAAAGAATGAAACGCACCTTCAAATAGTGTCGAGAAACGTGGTTTAAATTCTGGAAATCTTTGTGATAGCCTTAAAATATATATGTTCATCTTTAATTATAAAATTTAAAGCTTCAAAAATAGTGTAGATCGAGCTAATCTATGAAAACTTGAAAATCTTGAAAATTGACGGTCTAAAAATGCGTTACAAGATGCACTATTTCCAAAACTTGAAATCCATTTTTTTCTTCTATCCATTAATCTTGATGTCGAGATGTAATTTGAGGATATTTGGCATCAAAACAACCTCTTCTAGTGAAATTTGTGAGGTGGGCTCTAATTTGATTGTTTAGAACCTCAGCTCTATATAAAATTTTTCCAATATGTTATGATCAACCTACTTCCAAACCAAAAAACCATGGAAGCAATATACATGCGGTGCACCCTATTTTTGCAATTGAGAACGTGCAGTCATAGTAGCTAAAATGCAAAGGTGGCCCAAAAAAATTGAGGAAAAGAATAGGAGTTAGGAAGTGATAAAGAAATGACGAAAAACACAATACAATGGCCTGTTTTGATTTTTACACAAGGAAGATGCTAAAAGAATCGGCTTTCAGAGATCCACAAATACTAGGAAAGAAGCAGCTATAGCTTTGTAATATATACAAAAAAAAAAGAAAAAAAGAAGAAGAAGGAAATGAGTTTCAAATATCAGACAAAGAAAGTTTTAAACAGGGAGGAACAAAAAAACAAACGAGTACTTATTTATGATAAACAGTACAAAAGAGGTTCCAATCACAGAGACTATAAGGACGACAGAATGAAATGCAGGGATAAGCCTATCATAGATAATTAGAGACAGTGAAACTGCCTACTCATACCAAAGGATATTGCTCAAGAACCATAAAAGAGAACCACCACAAAGAAATCTAAACTAAAAAAGATAGTGCGAATTAAACAAGTAATGTTTAGTAAGGAAATAGTGAAAAAAAGAGCATATGAAGTCTGCGATTTCTTGCATGGAGTTCGGTATCCAAAGAGAGTAAAGCTCTGCAATCAATACTACCAAAAGAGCTGAACTAACACAATGCCAAATATCAAATGAATAATTGAGGTTATTTCATAGAAATAAACATGGATGATCCAATAGTTCTACACTTTTTTGCGGGAAATTTATCAAATTACCCATAACAGAAATTTCATCTTTTTTGCAACCATTCCAAGCCATATTTATATGTCTTTTGATGAAGATTTTGAAACTTAAAAAAAAAAAAAAGGAGGTAGAATGTTAAATAACTCGTCTCACATAGCATGAATTTCCCTTTTTTCCCAAAGATAGAGAGAGAGAGAGACTTCGACCTGCTAGTTTCAGACGCTTTCCAGAGAGAGAGAGAGAGCGCGCGCACTTGGTTTCTTTTGCGGCTTGATTTGCTCGGACGAGAGCACAGACGAGTTGCGGGCTCGTGTGTAGTGAGCATCGCAACTCGTCTGTAGTGAGCAGATTTGTCCTTTCATGTTTACAACCTCAAAAGCCGTCAGATGTAAAATTCCACGATAGAAGCATCTGGTTCCTCTCGATCCGTCAGATTCGGAATGCAACGGCTGAAGAAGTATCACATTCCACGTCTTAAATCTTTTGTGACTTATGGGGGGTGTGAAATGCTGCTTTTAAAACGAGCATGTGCGCTTACGGGACTACATTATACACTTACTGCCTCAAGCACTAAGCTCGGATTTATGCTTTTTGACTTTCTGAATGCGTTTTCCATGCTCCCGCTGGAGCATCTTATCGAATTACTTCATAAAACACGAGCTTACGATAAAACTTTCGATGTGAAATTATGGGGTCTTGTGAATCACGGGATAAGAAACATGGATTTTGTGTTTTTAAATGCATAGATTGCAGCATCCAAAAACGGGACAATTAATTTTGGGTGAGGTTTGTATAGAGCCTAGGCTCTAAACAATTAAATTAGAGCCTACCTTCAAATAGTGTCGAGAAATATAGTTTCAATACTAGAAATTCTTGTGATAGTCTTAAAATATATTTTCATATTTATTTATAAAGTTTAAAGATTAAAAAATAGTGTAGATCGAGCATATATATGAAAATTTAAAAATCTTGAG